AACATTGTTTTAAATGTGAATAGAGAGCTGCGCGTAGATATTTTCTGAATAAAATCATGCCTGAACTGAAACTTACTGATGCAGATGAAAAACTGGTTACGGAAGAACCCTGAAACACCATGCTCAAAAACAGACTAACCTGAAAAATTTTTCTTGCGAAAGGAAGGAACGAAAATCTCCACCGAGACTTCTGCTGGCTGTTTCTTCTTCGTTCTTGATGTCCTGAGCATCCGCCGTTGGAACTGCTGTTGACCGCGTAAATTTCGGTTAGCTTCACGCTGTTTTCCCCATCAACGTAGTAGAAAGACATCAGGGGTGCACCCGCGTTGCGGTAAAATAAAACCGAGTTAATTGAATATGCGTCCAGGCTAGTTAACGACGACGAAACATCGCCTAACAAGAGAATGATAAGAACAACAATGAAACACTACGCCCTGTTGCATACCCATACAATCGCGTTGCTGAACAGTTTGACACTGTATTTCGTGTATGAGTTGCCTGATCTCCTCGACTGAATATCGACACCTTTTTCCTTCACTGCCTCTAATGATGCTGAACAACTTGGCGAGCTTCTCGCAGCCTCGTTGGAAGCTCATTGAGAAGCACGAGCCAGTCGTTTCCGCACTGCCCCTGCCGATAGCAGCGGAGTCGAGGCAAAAGCCAATCGGCAAAGTCGGTGAAACAGGGGGGAGGGAACAAGTCCCAACATAGCTTTTCACGTTGCCACCGACATTTTCGTAGTCTATCTCGGATATAGTAACTCGGCACGTCAGCCTGAAGCAATAAAATAGCAGATATTCATTGGGACGACTGAAAATGATTGCCTTTCCTGACAGCGATGTTGTGGGAACTTTTCATTCGCATTGAAAAAACCGAAGTAACGTGACAAATTACCAACAAGCGGCAGCTTTGGAACCACTCTAGAAGAAATAATACATATTGCACAACTTGTAGATGAAATCAATACGAAGACACAACCAAATAAACTGGTTAAAACCAAATAAACCAACTGGCTCTACGTATAAGTCATGACACTCAGCTTCTCAAGTTCCGAATGATATGAGACCTGAAATGCCAT